TAAAAACCATAATGGAAAATTTTAAAATACTAGGATTTTCAACACATAGTAACAAGAAACAACTTCTTTAAAAAAATGGGTAAAGATTGAATAGACCCTTCACCAAGAAGACACACAGATAACCAATAAGCAAATAAAAAGATGCTCAATATTAGACATTAAGGAGATGCAAATTAAAACCACAAAGAGATATCACAGGTATCCATTACAATGGCAAAAAATAAAAACAAAAACAACCAAGACAATACCACACACTAACGAGGACACAGAGCAACTAAAACTTTTGGACATTTTTCACAGGAGTACAAAACAGTACAGCCACTCTGAAAAATGGTTTGGCAGTTTCTTATTAAATTAAATATACACTTACTACACAACTCAGCAATTCCACTCTTAAGTATTTACCCAAGTGAAATGAAAACCTATGTTCCCATAAAAAACTGTACATGAACATTTGCAATGGCTTTAATTCATAATCACCAAAACTATTAACAATCCAAATGATCCTTGAGCTGGAAAGGAATAAGTGAAGTATATCAATATTTGTACAATGGAACACTATTCAACCATAAATCAAATGAGGTATTGATATATGTCATAATAGTTTTCCAATTCATTATGCATTATGCAAAAGTGAAAAAAGGTAGACTCAAACAGCTATGTACTCTGTGAGTCCATTTACATGAAACTCAAGAAAAGGCAAACAGGGACAGAAGCAGATCACTGGGTCCCAGGAGCTGGGTTTATATAGGAAGAGGTGCACCACAAAGGCATAGGAGAATTTTGGTGGGTAATGGAACTGTTCTATATCTTGATTGTGGTGGTAGTAAATGGCAGTGATGTTTTCCAATAATAAGACAACTGTTCATACTAGTTATAGGCTGAACTGTATCTACGAAAATTCCTATGTTGAAGTCCTAACACTCAGTACTTCAGCATGTGACCTTCATTGGAGGTAGGGTCTTTACAGATGTAATCAAGTTAATATGAGGTCATTAGGGAGGGCCCTAATCCAATATGACTGGTGTCCTTATAGAAAGGAGGAAATTTGGATATGGACACACGTATAGCTAGGGAGATCATTATGTGGGAAAATTGGGGTGTTTCTTCTAGAAAGAAAGAAACAAAGAAAGGCATACTTCAGAGCAAGAAAATTAATCAGGGATAAAAAGGGGCACTCCATAATGATAAATGAGTCAATTCTCCAAGAAGACACAACAATCATTAATGTGTATGGGCACCATGAGCTAGCAAAACTTATAAATTATATTATAATAAATAAGACAGTATAATATTGGCATAGGTAGAGACAAAGCAAGTGATCAAAAGAGCTGTGTATAAAAATGTTATACATGACAGATACAAAATTACTTTAGTGAGAAAAGACTAGACTAATTCAATAACTGGTTGTAGACAGTTATATAATGAAAAAATGGATACCTATTTGATACTGTATCAGTTAGAATAAAGTAGGTTATGCTCAACCTACCCCACACCACTCCCAAATGTCAATGGCTTGAAAAATAAGAGGAAAGGAAGGTGTGAGAAGTATGAGGATGAGTAATGTAAATATGAATTATGATCTACTGACCACTAGTGGTAGGTGCTATAGATTGAACTGTGTCTCACCAAATTTATCAGAGACTCTCAGTGTGATAGCATTTGAAGACAGGGCTTTTGGGAGATAATCAGGTTTAGGTGAAGTCATGAAGGTAAGGACCTCAATGCCCTTGTAAGAAGAAACATGAACTCACTCTCTCTCTCTCTTTCTCCCCCATAACCACCCCCACCTCTTACTCTCTTGCTCCCTCACCCCATTTCTTTATTTTTCTCCCTTTCCTCTCCCTCTCCCTCTTCCTGTCTCCTCTGTGAGGATACAGTGAGAAGGTAGGAGAAGGTAGCCATCTACAAGTCAGGAAAGCCCTCACCAGAACATGACCATGCTGGTATCCTGAACTTAGACTTTCAGCCTCCAGAACTGTGAAAAAATAAATTTCTGTTCTTTAAGCCATCCACTCTATGGTATTTTGTTGTGACAGCCCAAGCAATTTGAGACAATAGGCACTTTACATTTTATCTCATTTAATTTCCCAACTGTCTAATAACTTTCAAAGCCACTGGATTTACCCTGCCAATGCCTCCTGCTACAGAGTACAAGAGGTTAGTTACTGGTGAAAGAGCAAGTACTCAGAAGCTCAAATACCAGGATTCTTGATTTTAGAAGTAAAAAATTCCAACACTTCTTATCCTTCTACAATTCTGAACTTAAAATGGTCTGGAAGGCAATGCTAGTTACCACATTTACAAGCAAATTCCACCTAACTCAAAAAGCGAAGATCTATTTTATTAATTTTCTAGTCAATACTGGATTTTAAGAACTATAAAGGCAAATACTATTTATGTGAGAAATCTGCAAAGTACAAAGATAAAGATTCTAATTTTACACAAAGTAATTTATGACACTTTACACAAATAAACCACAAAAAAGATGTTGTATGATATTCAGTATCTCTGCTATACTGAAGAAACTTCAGAACTTCTGGCCAAGATGGAAGTGTAGGTGGACAAACTATGCCTCCTCCCACAACTAAAATTAAGGACAAAAATTTAGAAACAAAAAAACAACCAGAACAGACAGAAAACTGAACTGTACAGAAGTCCGACACCCATTCATCCAGACTAGTGAGAGGGGTGGGGTCAGCAACCAGTGGAAAGGGGTCGTGGCAGGAAAAAGCAGTGGCTGACAGACCCGGGCACGCAGGGCGCAGGTGGCTGTTGGCAAACCCTAGATGCACAGGTGGCAGCTAGCAGACCCCAGCTGTGGAGAGGCAATGGGCAGACCCAGTGAGGTGTGCAAGGCAACTGACTATCTGCAGTCACACATTTGCATGCAGGTAAACCAGGTGAAAAATGAGCAGCGAGGTAGACCACGCAACCCAGGGTCCCAGCACTGGGAAATAAAGCCTAAAAGCACCAATTGAAAACACCTGTGGAGGTTGAGGCACAGGGAGAGACTCCCAGCCTCACAGGAGAGTTCATTGGAGAGATCCACAGGGTCCTAGAACATACACAAGCCCACCCACCTGGGAACCAGCACCAGAAGGGCCCAATTTGCTTGTGGGAAGCAGCAGAGGGAACTGAAATCTGACAGAGTGGAGCAAGGGACATTGTTCTCTCTCAGACCCCACCCCCACATACAGCATCACAACCCAGCGACTGGGTTGCCCTGCTCTGGTGAACACCTAAGGCTCCACCCCTCATACATAACAGGCACGACCAGACCAAAAACAGAAAAGTATGGCTTAAACAGAAGAACAAGTGAAACCCTCAGAGATAATACTTTTAAGCGACCAAGAGATAGCCAACCTATCAGATGCACAATTTGAAACACTGGTGATCAGCATGCTCACAGAATTGGTTCATTTTGGTTGCAAATTAGATGAAAAAGTGAAGGCTACACTAAGTGAAATGAAAAATGCACAGGGAACCAATAGTGATGGAAAGAAAACTGGGTCTCACATCAATGGAGTGAACCAGAAGGAAGAAAAAAACACACAATCAGAAAAGAATGAAGAAACAAGAATTCAAAAAAATGAGGAGAGGCTTAGGAACCTCCAGGGCTTCTTTAAACATCCCAACATCAAAATTATAGGGGTACCAGAAGGAGAAGAGGAAGAGCAATGAGTGGAAAACTCATTTGAACAAATAATGAAGGAGAACTTCCCCAATCTGTCAAAGGAAATAGACTTCCAGGAAGTCCAGGAAGCTCAGAGGGTCCCAAAGAAGTTGGACCCAAGGAGGAACACACCAAGGCACATCATAATTACATTACCCAAGATAAAAATGAAGGAGAGAATTCTAGAAGCAGCAAGAAAAAAGGGGACAGTCACCTACAAATGAATTCCCATCAGACTGTCAGCTGATTTCTCAAAAGAGACCTTACAGGCAAGAAGGGACAAGAAAGAAATATTCCAAGTCATGAAAGGCAAGGACCTACATCCAAGATTGGTCTATTGAGCAAAGCTTTCATGTAGAATGAAAGGGCAGATTAAGTGCTTCTCAGGTAAGGTCAGATTAAAGGAGTTCATTGTCACCAAGCCCTTATTATATGAAATGTCAAAGGGACTTATATAAGAAAAAGAAGATAGAAAATATGAACAGTAAAAAGACAGCAAACTCACAGTTATTAACAACCACACCTAAAACAAAAGCAAACTAAGCAAACAAATAGAACAGGAACAGAACCACAGAAATAGAGATCACATGGAGGGTTAGCAACAGAGGAGTGCGAGGAGGAGAGAGGGGGAAAAGGTACAGAGAATAAATAGCATAGATGGTAGGGAGAAAATAGAGGGAGGGTAAGTATAGTCTGGGAAATATAGAAGCTAAAGAACTTGTGATACATGAACATGAACTAAAGGGGGGAATGTGGGTGAGAGGGGGTGTGCAGGGTTGAGGGGAGTGAAGGGGGGAAATGGGACAACTGTAATAGCAAAATCAATAAAATATATTAAAAACATAAAATAAAATAATAAATAAATAAATAAAAGAAACTTCAAATATATGTAATGTAAGCCAAAAACTCTTCTCAGAAAATCTCCACATTCAAAAAAAAAAGTTTTCTCAAAGGAAACTCAATGACTATTTCCCATTAAAAGTAACTGTAAGGTAGTTATGGCAGAATTTACATGTTATCATAACCTGTTGGAAAACTATTTTAAAATATTATTTCACACCATTAATGTGATACCATGGATTTGCTTCAAAAATATTTGGTAGAATGGGAATGTGGCGGGGAGAATGAAGGAATGGTAACAAGGTGATAGCTCATGAATTGATAACTGTTGCAGCTGAGTAAGGGCTATATGGGAGTTCATTATCCTATACTTTTTAATTCCATGTATGTTTGACATTTTCTCTGTAAGAAAATTTAAACTTATTATACACTCTTGATGAACAAATTTAATCCTTATAGCCTAAAAATAAAGAAAAGTGAGTACCTTCCAATCTTTGAACTTTTGCTTTCACAGAAATAACAGCTTCCAAGGGTGAAACTCTCAGTTCAAAACATGTTCCAGTCAATGTTTCAATGAAGAGCTCCATGGTATCATAGAAAGGAACTTTGTAGTAAAATGGTCCCACATTATCTTCATTGAAGAATGGAGGATCTTTTCTGTTATCCATTACTTTGACTTTTCTAAATCCTCGGGAATATGTAATAGGCAACTATATTAAACAGTTCAAGCCAAATCAGACTTGAACATTGGTAATATATATCATTGTTCATGTTTTGAGTTTAGTACCTAAAAAACAAGAATAATTTTTTTAGCAAACCTATCTGAAAGTCTAATTCCTCCACAAAAATTTTCTGAACAACTCTGGCCCATATCAATCTTCCAGACAACCCCAGAATTCATTTTAGTACTTAATTTGTCTAATCCTAAACTTCTTGTGTTTGCCTCTGAAATCACTCCCCCTGGCCCCATTAGACTGTGAGGTCATTAAAAACAGGTATATTTGCCCTGGCTGGCTGGCTCAGTTGGTTTAAGCATCAACCCATGCACCAAAGGGTTGCAGGTGTGATCCCTGGTCAGGGCACATACCCAAGTGTTGGGTTTGATCCCTGGTTGGGGTGCATGCATGAGGACCCGGTCAATGTTTCTCTGTCACATCAATGTCTCTCTTTCTCTCCCTTCCTCTCTCTCTAAAATCAATACAAATATATACTTGTGTAAGGATTAAGTTTTTTTAAAAAAAACAGGTATATTTGCAAAAGTTTTCTGTATCCTACTAGAGCTCAGTACAATTACATATATATAGTACATGCTCAACAAATGTTCTATTAATAATACTTAAAGCAATAAACCCAACACATAGGTATATATTTGTAAGACTTTAAAGTTTATGAAAATCCTTTTCTAAAACATGTAAATTATGTTTTCTCACTCATACAAAGCATAACTTTATAGCCCTTATACATTTGAATCACAATGAAAAAAAGGAATAGCAATCATTTTAATAGTTTCCTTAAAAATAGGAATCACTGCCCTGGCTGGTGTAGTTCAGTGGATTGAGCATGGGCCTGCAAACCAAAGGGTTGCCAGTTTGATTCCCACTTCAGGACACATGCCTGGGTTGTGGGCCACGTCCCCAGTAGGGGGTGGTGTATGAGAGGCAACCAAACATTGATGTTTCTCCCCTTTTCTTTCTCCTTCCCTTCCCCTCTTTCTAAAAACAAATAAATAAAATACTTTTTAAAAATAGGAATTACTAAATAATGCATGAAAATTTGGGCTTCCAGAGGTTATCTATCAGTATAGCATTGAGATAGTTAATATTGGTAATGGACATGAGGCATAATCTCTACACACAAACAATGGCTATTAAGTACTAGAGGCAAACACAGCCAACAAATTACATTTGTATAATTATAATAGGATTAATAAAATAAATTACTATTAATCAGCAAAACTTAAACTAGAAGACAGATACTATACATATTCCTAGAGAGGTAGGTAAATCTTTTTAATAGCTTTACTAAGATATAATTTACATACCACAGAATTCACCCATTTAAAGTCTAAAACTTACTGGTTTTTACTATGTTCACAAAATTGTACACCATCACCACAATATTTTTTAGAACATTTTCATCAATTCAGAAAGGAACTTTGTACTCTTAGGCATCACTCCCAAGTTCTCCTTTTCCTCTTCGAATGAGGCAAACAGTAATCTACTTTCTGTCTATAATTTACAAATTCTGGACACTTCACATAAATAGAATCATATATGCATAATCTTTGTGGCTGGCTTCTTGCACTAAGCACAATGTTTTCAAACTTCATTCATGTTCTAGGATGTATCAGTACTTCATTCTTTTTCATTGCTGAATAAATGTTGTTTATCTAAGTATCACTTAATAGGCATTTTGGGTTGTGTCCAATATTTGGGTATTATGAATAATGCTATGAAAATATACAACTAAAATTGGAAAGAAGGAAGTAAAACTGTATTTGCAGATGACATGATAGTGTACACAGAAAACCCTATAGACTCCACCAGAAAACTACTCAATCCAATAACTGAATTTGGCAAAACAGTGGGATACAAATCAATCTTTAGAAATTGAAGCAATTTTTGTACACCAACAATGAAATATCAGAAACAGAAATCAGGGAAAAAAATCCCATTGGCTATAGCAACTAGAAAAATAAAGTAACTAGGGATAAATATAACCAAGGAGGTAAAAGAACTTCACTCAGAAAACTACATAACACTGAAGAAAGAAAGAAATTAAGGCAGAAACAAATAAATGGAAGCATATACCATGTTCATGGATTGGAAGAATTAACATCATCAAAATGTCCATAATACTCAAAGCAACTTATAGATTCAACACAATCCATATTAAAATACCAATGACCTATTTCACAGATATAGAAAAAACATCTCAAAAGTTTATATGGAGTTATAAACAACCCTGAATAGCAGCTGCAATTTTGAGAAAGACAAAGTAAGAGGGATCACAATACCTGATATGAAACTATATTACAAGGCCATGATAATCAAAACCATCTGGTACTCATATAAGAACAGACAAATAGGTCAATGGAACAGAATAGAGAGCCCAGAAATAAACCCAGTTCTCCATGGTCAATTAATATTCGCCAAAGGGAAAGAAGAGTAAAATGGAGTAACAATAGCCTCTTCAACAAATGGTGTTGGGAGATCCGGACAACTAGCTATAAGCAAAAACAATGACATTTGACCACCAACTTACACCACACACAAAAAATAAACTCAAGGTGGATAAAAGATTTAAACATAAGATGCGACACCATAAAAGTCCTAGAGGAGAACATAGGCAGGAAAATCTTAGACATTCCACGCAGCAATATTTTCACCAATATGTCCCCTAGAGCAAGGGACATAAAGGAGAGAATAAGCAAATAGGACTTCATCAAAATAAAAAGCTTTAGCTGAAAAGCTAAAGAAAACATAAGTAAAATGATAAGGGAATCAACAGTATGGTAAAATATATTGGCAAATGACACCTCGGAAAAGGTTTTGATCTCAAAAATATGTAAAGAACTCACACAACTGTACTCCAGGAGGATAAACAATCCAACTAAAAAAATAGACAAAGGACTTGAACAGACACTTCCCCAAGGAGGACATAGAGGGCCCAGAAACATATGAAAAGATGTTCAGCATCACTAGCCATCAGAGAGATGCAAATTAAAACCTCAATGACATATATACTTCACATCAGTCAGAACGGCCATCAAAAACAAATCAACAAACAGCAAGTGCTGGTGAGGTGAAGAAAATGGAACCCTAGTGCACTGTTGGTGGGAATGTAGACTGGTGCAGCCACTGTGGAAAACAGTATGAAATTTCCTCAGAAAACTAAAAATGGAACAGTTTAACCCTAAAATCCTGAAACAGCAATTCAAAAGAACCTATGTACCCCTATGTTCATAGTGGCACTATTTACAATAGCCAAGTGCTGGAAACAGTCTAAGTGCCCATCAGTTAATGAGTAGATCAAAAAACTGTGGTACATTTACACAATGAAATACTATGCAGCAGAAAGAAATAAGGAGCTCCTACCCTTTGTGACAGCATAAATAGATCTGGAAAACATTATGCTAAATTAAATAAGCCAGGCAGTGAAAGTCAAATACCATATGATCTCATCTATAAGTGGAACCTAATCAACAATAAAAACAAGCAAGCAAAATATAACCAGAGACATTGAAATCAAGAACAAACTGGAGACATCCGACCAAGATGGAGGCATAGGTAGACACACTGTGCCTCCTTGCACAACCAAAAGAAGGACAACAAATTTAAAAACAAAAAACAACTAGAACTGCCAGAAAATTGAACTGTATGGAAATGTGACAACCGAGGAGTTAAAGAAGAAACATTGTCCGGACTGGTAGGAGGGGTGGAGATCAGCTGCTAGGGCAGAGAGGACTTGTGGCTAGGTGGTGCCTAAAAGACCTGGGCAGGAGAGGCAGCAGCTGGCAGAACCAGCGCTCCCACACTTGCATGCAGATAAACTGGGACAATTTGCATGCAGATAAACTGGAAAGCAAGACAGACCACACAACCCAGGGTTCCAGCCCAGAGAAATAAAGCATCAAAACCTCTGACCACCCATAAGCAGTGCTCATATGGCTATCAGCTGATTTCTCAAAAGAAGCCTTACAGGCAAGAAGGGGCTAGAAAGAAGTATTCAAAGTCATGAAAGGCAAGAACATACAAGATTACTCTCTCCAGCACAGCTATCATTTAGAATGGAAGGGCAGATAAAGTGCTTCCCAGATAAGGTCAAGTTAAAGGAATTCATCACCACCAAGCCATTATTACATGAAATGTTAATGGGACTTATCTAAGAAAAAGAAGATCAAAAACTATGAACAGTAAAATGACAACAAACTCACAATTATCAACAACTGAACTTATAAAAACAAAAACAAAGACAAACTAAGCAAACAACTAGAATAGGAACAGACCACATAAATGGAGATCACATGGAGGGTTATCAGTGGGGAGGGACAGAGGAGAGAATGGGGGAAAAGGTACAGGGAATAAGAAGCATAAATGGTAGGTAGAAAATAGACAGAGGGAGGTTAAGAGCAGTATAGGAAATGTAGAAGCCAAAGAACTTATATGTATGACTCATGGACTTGAATGTGGATGGGAGGGTGGGTGCAGGGAGGAGGGGAATAAAGGGGTGAAAAATGGGACAACTGTAATAACATAATCATTAAAATATATTTAAAAAATAGAACTGACAGTAACGATAGGGGAGGGGAGAGAGGGATAATGAGGGATAGTCAGGGAAACGTTGTCAAGGAACATATATATAAAGAACAGATGGACTAAGCCAAAGGGGGTAGAATCAAGGGTGGGAAGTGGAGATGGGTGGGATGGTGGGGGTGGGTGGGGGGAAAATGAAGACAACTATTTGAACAACATAAAAAAATAAAAAATAATAAAATATTTTTAAAAGTTTTGTGTGGAATATATTTTCCTTTCTCTTCCATATTTATCTAGGAAAGGAATTACTGGGTTATGTAATAATCCTCCCTCTTATAAAGTTTTTTCCTGATTAATAGCAATTTATTATTTAATAATTCCTATTCTAATTATACAACTGTAATTTAGTACTTCTGTTGGTCATGTTTGCCTCTTGTATTTGTTAGTTATTGTATGCTTGTATGCAGAGATTATACTTAATGTCCATTATCAATATTAACCATCTCAATGCTATACTGATAGCTTTTGGAAC